GAATTGTACATAATAATTTGCTGCCATGGAGACCAACCAGCAGGCTGCAGAATGCCCCAGAGCACTTGGAGGTTAGAGCTGAACTGACCAGAGTCAGGAGCGGGAGGGGAATGGTAGCCAGAACTTTGGTGTCACTTCTTGCTGCTGGAAGGATTAAGCAAGACCCTCCCTAATTTTTTTAATGGAAGATACTAGAGTATGTTTGCAGATTGCTGGGAGCAATCTAGTGGAGAGGGACAGAATAAGGGTGCAGAAAGGAGCATAACTGAAGGGGCAGAGTTCCCGCTAAGGCAAGTAGAAGAGGGGGGGAGTCCCACACACTTGGGGAAGGACTAGGGACCCTGCTTCCACTGCAGAGGGAGGGAGGAGGAGGAGGAGAGGCGACAGATGCTGACACCTTTGTCAAGCTGGTCATGGGGACATCAGCGAGTTCCTGAGTAGTGGCTTCTTTTTTACAGGAAAGCACGAGCCCAGATCCTCTGCACAAAGGGGAGGTAGGAAGAAGGAAGAGGGTTTGAGAAGGGAGGAGCCTGGTCCCCGGGGAGGGAAGAGAGGGCGTCCCTAGAAAAACACAGCACCAGGGCTGTGCAATATTGGGACCACTGGAGCATAGCTATCTTGAACTTAGAGTGGCACCTCTCTTTGTGATTGGGGATTTTGCTCCAGGGATCCTTGCATTTAGGTGCAGGCTCAGGGAAGGTGGGAGCATTCTGGGGTTGCCAGGAAGGTGAGATGGAGGGTGGAAAGGGGACCACGCTTATGCTGGGCCGTGGAGTTTAAAAGAAGCTAAGAGGAACATGAAGGCAGGAGGGGAAAGATGATAAAAAGAACTGGTGGGGAGCCATGTGGAGTGGCATGCTGGACCTGAGGCACTTTCCTCCCGTCCTTGCATTTAAGCAAGGGAACTGCAGGTAGAGTCAGAGAGTAAAACTACCAATCCATGATTTTGGAGATAGAGATTTCTGGCAAATGCAAAATCCAGGTGTGAAGAGGGAAGGGAATTCTGACACCTGCTACAACATGGATGAACCGTGGGGACCTTAAGTAGGTTGAGTGACGCAAGCCAGACACAGAAGGATGAATACCGTTTGGTTCCACTTAGATGAGGTACCTGGAGTCGTCAGATTCATAGAGACAGAAGGTAGAGGGGTGGCTGCCAGGTGCTGGGGGTGGGGTGGGCGGAGGGATGGGGAGTTAGGTTTGAATGGGGACAGAGTGTTAGTGGGGGAAGAGGAAAGGAGCTCTGGAGATGGATGGTGGGGATGGCCACCAATGGTGCAGATGTACTTGATGCCACAGAACTGTGTACTTAAAAACGGTTAAGGATAACTTTTAACAGTTAAGTTAAAAACAGTTAACTGGGGGCGCCTGGGTGGCTCAGTTGGTTAAGCTACTGCCTTCTGCTCAGGTCATGATCCCAGGGTCCTGGGATCGAGTCCCGCATCGGGCTCCCTGCTCGGCGGGGAGTCTGCTTCTCCCTCTGACCCTCCTCCCTCTCGTGCGCTCTGTCTCTCATTCTCTCTCTCAAATAAATAAATAAAATCTTTTAAAAAAAAAGAAATTAAAAAAACAGTTAACTGTATACTTAAAACAGTTTTATGGGATGTGTATTTCACCACAGTAAAAAAAAAAAAAAAAATCCACATGTGACCACAGGGTGGGTGGCTGAGGTAAAGGTCCTCGGCAATGGGGTACCCCGAGAAGCATGCAGAGAGAGGTACAGGTCCTGAGAATGGCGACAGGGCTGGGGTGGAGAGAGACACTGTGGTCCAGGAGCTGCAGTCTCCCCCAAGTAAGGGGCCTGACAGGAAGGCTGGGAGAGGCCGGACATACGAGCATTAGGGGAGCCGACTGGATGGGGGGGGCACTGGAGGTGGGGGGGGACGGTCTGCACGTTGCAATCGGGAGTGAGGAGGACGCCCACCTCGCCTCGCCTCTGTCATTTGTAGGGGGTGAGAGAAGGAAGAGCGCCAGCCAAGAGGTGGCAGGAAACTTTGGGGGAAGCCAAACGTCTGTTAAGTCAAGGAAGCGGAGGGAACTGTCTCAGAAAGACTGAGAATGTTGGGGGCCTCCTGGGCTGCAGCAGGGGGCAGGGTGGTGATGGTTGTAGAACGCTTGGTGCAACAGGGATTTCGAGTTTCAAAGACACGCCTGTTCGCCCCAATCTTCTGGAGCCGAAGTGTTGAACCGGGGTATTTGCGTCACAATGAGACGCATTACATCCCCTGGAAGAAGGGGCAGAGAGCTCAGGGTGCCACTGTCCTCTGGAAGGCTCTGTGAGTTCTGTGGTCCCCAGAAGGCTAGAGGTGGGTCTCCACTCTCCCAAGGAGCTCAGACGTGCAACCAGAGACCACATAGTGGCCCAGAGAGCCAAACCAGGAATCCCTTTGCTAGCCCTGACCAGGCTGACATGCTCATTTTATGGGTGGGGAAACTCAGGTGTTGTGGGGACAAAGGCTTTTCTCAGGCCAGGCGGGGACTGAAATTCAGATTTCCTGTTTTCCACGCTGCTGCGGACGATCTGCTAGGTTAGGCTCCCCCATGCGGAACCAGAGAAGGTCCGAGTATGCCCGGGAGTTGCCCAATAGGATTGGCAGTAGAGGAGGGGCCGGCAGGGAAAAAATTTCATGAAAGGAGAGAGCGTGGGAATGAGATGAAGGAATGAATGGGAGAGGCCAGGTGGACACCAGATGGTTTTAATGTCTTCGGACCAGCTCAGCTTTAGCACCCTGAAAAAGGGATGGAAAGGTAAAGCAGCCCCATCTGCTGTAATTGGATAAAGCCCCGAGAGCAGTGTGAGCCTGCAGAAACCAGCTCCTTTCCCTCCTGGCTGGAGATCTAAAAACCATGAGTTTAAATGCAGGGAAACCTCTTTTGGGGGGCTCTTCAACAGCGGGCCCCACCATTCAGGACAGGGACACTTAGGGAACTTCTTATTGCTAAAAAGGGCTGCTTTTATTTTTTATTATTTGATTTTACTTTTAAAGATTTTATTTATTTATTTGACAGAGAGACACAGTGAGAGAAGGAACACAAGCAGGGGGATTGGGAGAGGGAGAAGCAGGCTCCCTGCTCCCCCTGATGCTGGGCTCGATCCCAAGAGCTTGGGATCATGACCTGAGCCGAAGGTAGAAGCCCAAGGACTGAGCCACCCAGGCGCTCCAGAAGGGCTGCTTTTAGGCAATCATGCTATGAATATTTTATGCACGTTGAAAATATGACAGGGCTGCAGCTGAGATAGATTTTTACAGACTTAATGCCCTCCAACTTTGAGCAGCCTCTAGAGGTCTTGTATTTTTGGACCGTCCTGGTCAGCGACAAGAAATGTCCCTTGGTTTATCTGGTTTAACCCAGATCCTGCAGAGCTCGCCCGGTGGCGGTGGGGGTGAGGGGGTGGAGAGCCACAGGGGAGTGCCATGTCTTGGAGCCACCTCAACCCCAGATCCCAGGAATGAACTGGACCAGGGCCCCCTCCCCCATTCTTTCTCCATTTCATAAGCTTTCCAAATCCCTTTGAGTGTATCTGAAAAAATCCTGGGTTGGGGGAGGAAGCTGTAGAACCTCTCCAGGATGCAGATGTTGGGGTCCAGGCACCCTAGAATCATCCTGGGTCCCTTGGTGCCCATCTGGCAGAAACTAAGCACACTGTGCATCCCCATCCAGTGGTGATGCCTGGGAGCTCCTTTCTTTTAAGGAGCCAGATGCTTCTTGTCCCATCCTCTGGCCATGTGTTCTGGGCTGAATTGGGTCTTTCTTTCCCAAATTCATCTGTTGAACTCCTCACCCCCGGGACCTTATAATGTGATTGTATTTGGAGACAATCAATTACCAATTAAAGTGGTAATTAAGAGGAGGTCTCTAGGGTGGGTCCTAATCCAGTATGACTGGTGTCTCTGTAAGAAGAGGAGATCAGAACACAGACACAGAAGGAAGGCCATGTGAAAACAGAGGGAGGAGGTGGCCATCTATAAGGCAAGGAGAGAGACCTCAGAAGAGACCAACCCCGCTGACACCTTGATCTTGGATTTTAGCCTCCAGAACTGTGAGAAAATTAATTTCTGTGGTTTACATCAACCAGTCTGTGGTACTTTGTTATTATGGTAGCACAAAGAAACTCAAACACTGTGTCCAGAAACACCTTATTAAGTGGGCAAGGGACTGTTTCTTGGTACACACCTCTTTCTAGGAACCACGCGGGACTCGTAGCCCGGGAGAGCTGTCTGAATGGAGCTTTTTTTTTTTTAAGATTTTATTAATTAATTTATTTATTTAATTGACAGAGAGAGAGAGACAGCG